AACAAAAAAGACAAGAAACATAGACTTTTTTTTAGATACTCGAAAGCGATACACGAGTAAATCTGAGCACCGATTGTTTGGATTTGTCTAAATTTAAGGGAGTTGAACCTCTTGCTGATATGCACTAAATCTGTTTTCTACCCGGCAGACAAGCCCAGATGGCTCACCAGTATGATGCTTCCGCCCTGCCTCTCACCAGAGAAGAGGAAATCTTGGGGTAATCGCAACATTTTGCCCAACCAGTCTAAGGCTATCATCTCCAGTTCAGTGCATGCAGGACTTGACGCCTGTGACAAAAAAAATGGTGGGGAGGGGTATCAGTAGAGTTGTTTTATTCATTATGTAATATATAATAGCTCGTCCGGTCCGTCAATGTCTGACGATGACCAAAACATCCACAGAGGAGAAAATTTCTCCAGCGAAATAGAATAATGTGAAGAATTACAGGTTACAACAACTTGTGGCTTCTGCTGCGCCGATGAGACCAATTCTGGAACAGAAAAGTTTACTTTTTGAACATTTAAAGGCTCCACTTCCACTTCTGGGTGTGTGCAGCTTGCGGGCTTCTCTTTTGGTTTCAGCATTTCTTATTCGTGAAGCCTCATATGATTTGCTGCTGACTGTGACTGCTGCTCTCCAGCTGGGTCTGTCAGGAGCAAGACTCTTCCATGTCAAAGGATTTATGTTGAAGTCCTTCAGAGACATTCGTCCTTGTGGTGCTTTTTTGTTGATGTGCGCCAACCTTACGTTTCCCTGAGGACAGTTCAGAATAGAAGACTGCCTTTGGGATTCTGAAATCAGACATTCTTACGACAAGGCCAGCCCAGCAAAGTTGAGTCCTTTTGAGCTTATACTATCGCCGTTTGCCCTTTTGAGGACTTCGGTATCTGGTATTTTATCCTGCCATTTAGTGGCAAGAATTCTCCTACGGCATTTCATAAGGAAATGAATAAGATTCTTGCTATGGTATTGGTAAACCGTCCAGGTCTCAGCAACATACACCAGGGTTATGAGTTGTAGACTGTCAACTTTGTTTCTGTGCCAATGTCACAGAGGTCCAAACTCTTGCTCTGAGTCTCCCAAAGGATGCACTAGTTTTGTTCACACGTAAAACTATTTCTGCATTGATGTTGGCATTTGAACAGAGTGTAGTGCCAAGATACTTAAACCTATCATCATTGTTCAGTGTTGTTCTATGTATTTTGACTTTCGGAGGGAAGGTCTGTGTATCACTGGAAGAGCACTTTTGTCTTTGCTGTGCTTATTCCAAGTCCAAAGTTTTCACATACATTTGAAAATGATGGACATATACAGATATACATATAAATAAAATGGAGTCCAAAAGAAACTTGAAAATGTAATCACCCAATCATCGTATTAAAGCCAAGTACCACTCACTCATGCAGCATACCAGTTTAAAGATACATTACTTTTGCATCATCTAATACATTAATATTTATTGATCTATGTATAAAGACGCCCGAGATATGGTCACTCAAAACTGACCTTAAAAAATCAGGTTTGGTGAAATTGTGCGAAATTTTTTAAAATGTAAAAGTGTGTTCGCGCGTGTATTGAGGTGCATCAACCCTGGTGGAATGGATATAATATATTGAATATCAAATGAAAATAGAATATTATTGTCTCAGCAATGAACAGTATCTTCAAAGTATATTTCCTAACAGATTAGAAAAAAAAGTAGTCACAAATACCAAGCAAAACTTGGACTTAACATTACATAATGTGCTCATTAATAGGCCTATGATTTTGTATTTGTTGAGGAGATGTTGATGCCCCTGCGTTAGTTAGATTTTTAACAAATCATCTGTCAGTGAGGTGTAGAGGCCACGGAAGTGCCATGGTTTTGGGTGGTCTGGGTGGAATAAACAAAACCGCGCTCATGGGAATCACCGAATAGCTTGGTTGAGTGGACTACATTGGGCAAGTGCTGGAACGTCATATCTTATCCTTATTTTCGTCATGGTGTCATTCAATGACACCTTGACGAAAATAAAAGTAAGACATGCATGGCAAGGCATTTTCTCCCAGGGCCAAAGCCACTTGACAATTCTTGGAAAAACAAACCATACCAACGTTGGAGTGGTCATCAGTAAATAGCCCTGATATGAAATATACAGGAACGTGAAGTCCAATGAAACAGCAATCGAAGAAAATCGACTATGCTCCCAATTAAGACCCTTTGTTTGCAACTGTCAGTGACATTTGGGATGAATTGACAGGTAATAATGTCCAGAATTTAATACAGCCGATGCCCAAAGGGTTCGTGCCCTACACAAAACCAATGGCTCCTTAAAAAATAACAACGAGCACATTCAATGTTTAGTCCAAGTTTTGAGTGGTATTTAGTTTGAAACTATCGAAATGAAGTACAACGTACTGCTTATTGCAGAGTCAAAATACTCCATTCATTGGATATGCAATGTATGGCCATTCTATCAAGATTGATGCTCCTCACATTCTTAGCATGCCAGGGCCAGACAGAGTTTTTGTCTTACATATGAGATAAATAGGTATAGATCTAGTTGAATGTGGGAAAGGTAACAATTTGAAAGCAGTTTTTTTATGCCAAGCAGAGAAAGAGGACAGAGTGAGAGAGACTGACACACACACACACACACGCGCGCGCGCGCGCGCACACACACATACACACACACACACACACACACA